TTTCCTTGACATTCTGTCCTTTTGAAACTACTGTAACCAGTGTTAAATATATTTCCATGGGCTGACTAAAACTAGAAATTTCCAACTGTTGCATCAAATCAAAGCATGATTGATAGTCCCAATAATTCCTAGTACTGAAGATAATCCATTTATAATGAATGAATGCACAACAAATGTATCAATAAAGTAACTGTAAGAAGGTTACCCAAATCCACTAGCATAAAGTCAAATGGATTCTGACAGAGGAGCAAACAAAAACCTTCGTTTTTTCCCCCTAAGATTCATCTTTACACATAAAAATGGGAATTATCAAAAGAAGAATTATTCATACTAAATATTTATTTTCCTTTTGCAAAAAAAATTACAGCATGTATCAAAAATGTAGAATCAAGCAAAAACATGAACAGCAGCTGGTTCTCCCAGATAAAATCACCTAATTTCCTACTCTGATCTCAGAACCCTCAGCTTGATACAACAGCTTGATACAAGACTAAAGCAAAAGTATGTACATGTGCCATCTGGTACACTGGGAAGAAGATCAAGGCCAAGAGTCAAGATTTCCCCACTTTAGTGAGAGATCTGTGAGAAACTACAAGGTCTACACCCTCTTCGGCCTCAGGTTTCCCATTTCCATGGAGGGAGGAGCGGGAATTAATTTATTCAGCAAGTACTTGAAAAGGCTGATCTAGTTGTGTGGTAGCCAGGGACTATACCATAAGATCTTCATAATGAATTTCAGCGCAGAAGATATTCTAATTCTTATAGTCACACTTTGTAGACATTCCTTTGGCTCTGATCTCAAAATCTGTCTAGAAACATAAACAGACTTTCTACATAAAAACACACAATTACCAGCTATAATTTGAACTTGGCCACATGAGGTTTCACCGGAGCAGAGGAAAAAATGCAAGCTTTTCTTCAGTGATCAGAAGACTTTAGGATCTAGTATAGCTCATATCGAAGGTAGCATATGACCAAACAAGCACCCATCCTTGCCAAATCTGGGTCACTATTACACAAACAAGGGCGTGCCCTCTTTTTTTTTTTTTACCCACTTTCCAACAATATCTCATGGGAAGAGTCTCAAAATTAATGCACTCTCCCTAGCAGATTTGTCCTTTTCCATTTGGCAAACCCTACTTCATTTCTGTATCTTCTTCCCTTTTGTTTTTTTTTAGGGGACATCATCCAAAATGGCAATGGGCATTTTGTTTATTTCCTTCCTCTTCAAAAACAAAGTCATGGCTTGAGTACATTTATTGGAACAAAGTCCACATTTAAAGGACATTTTTATAATTTTATGAAAGCCTCACAAGGTTGGCCACTGTCACCATGATTCTAAGCATAGTACTGGGAGTCCTACCAGGGCAGTTTAATAACAGAAAGAATTAAAAGGCATTCAAACTGAAAAGGAAGGAAATCAGATCATCCTTGTCTGTACACAATACAGTGTGTGTGTGTGTGTGTGTGTGTGTGTGTGTGTGTGTGTGTGTGTGTGTGTGTGTGTGTGTGTGTGTGTGTGTGTGTGTGTGTGTGTTTGCATGCCCAAAGACTCTCTCTAAATTTATTGAACTAATGAACAAATTGATGAAAGGTATACTATACAAAAACGAGCTATAAAGACAGCTGTTTTTCTATATGATAAAAAGCAACCTACTGGGAAGATAAAGACATTCTATTCCCCAAAGCTTCAGAAAATAAAATACCAAAAAATAATTTTCGATAAAGCAGATTCTTCACAATGAAAGTGATATTATATTGATTTTTTAAAAAGAGAGGAAAGTGGGCTGGGAAGGTAGCTCAGTGGTAGAGTGCTTGCCTTGCATGCATGAGGCCCTGAGTTCGATTCCTCAGCACCACATAAACAAAAAAAAAAAGCCGGAAGTGGCGCTGTGGCTCAAGTGGTAGAGCGCTAGCCTTGAGCTGAAGAGCTGAGGGACAGCGCGTAGGCCCAGAGTTCAGGCCCCATGACCAGACCCAAAAAAAAAAAAAAAAGAGAGGAAAGAGAGTGGGGCACAGTGGCTCACACCTGTAATCCTAGCTACTCGGGAGGCTGCGATCTGAGGAACACAGTTCAAAGTCTGGGCAGGAAAGGCTGTGAAACTCTTATCTCCAATAAACCACCAGAAAACCAGAAGTGGTACTGTGGCTCAAGAGATAAAGCACTAGTCTTGAGCTAAAGAGCTGAGGGACAGTGCTCAGACCCAGAGTTCAAGACCCATGACCAAAAAAAAAAAAAAAAAGTAAAGAGAACACAAATAAATTGAAAGCCAAAAGGCTTCATAGATTAGATAATTCTTTAATAAAAATCTATTGGCAAAAATCATAGTACTATTATTGATCTCCGTCATCTTCCGATTTCTTTTAATAATGTTTGTTATAACACCAATTTGGGGGAAGGGACAGATTTAAAATGCAACAGATATCCTAGCAATACAAGAAAGTAATTAGAACGTGTGAACTTTTAAAGTACACATATTAAGCAATTTGTAAAGAAGCACTCCCCAAGAAAATGTCATGAAAGTATATAAAAGGAAAATTCCAAGTGTTTCAACATTTTGTTAGCCCAGAGGCAATGGCTAACACCTCTAATTCTACCTACTGTGGAATGGCTGAGATTGGGAGGATGGCAGTTCAAGGACAAGCCAGGCAAGCATGTCAGACTCCTTCTTACCTGGGCATAGTCATATGTGTGTAATCCCAGTTATTTGGGAAGCAGAAATTAGGAGAATCATGGTTCCAAATCAGCCTGGACAGAAAAAGCCATGAGTCTCAATCTCAAGAGAAGAAGCTGGGAGTGCTGACCTATACATCATTTCACATACAATGGGAAGTTTATAATATAGGGGGTGTTGCCTAGATACATTCCTGGGAGGAGGTGGAACCAAGATCCTATTTCAAAACCAATGAATGCAACAACAACAAACAAACAAACAAAAAAAAGAGCTGGAATCATGGCTTAGCAGAACAGTGCCTGCCAAGCAAATGTGAAGTATTGTGTTCAATCACCAGTATCACCAAATACAATTTATTTAAAAAAAATAGCTAAATAGAAAGTTATTGTACTCATGTACTACTTTGCTGAATGGTAACTCTTCATACAGATACTTAAAGATAAAAAAAAAAAGAAGCTTGGAGACAGTGTCTCACGTGTGTAATCCTAGCTACTCTAAAGACAGAGGTTAAGAAAATGACAGTAACAGGCCAGCCTAGAAAAAAAATTTGTGAGAACCCATCTGAACAAAGTGCTGGGTCTAGTGGTATACACCTGTCAGCCCTCCTATGGTAGAAAGCATCAATGAGAAAATAGAGCATTTGACAAGCAAGCACAAAGCTCTCAGTTCAAAGCCCAGCGGAGCAACAAAAAAGAAAACAGGAAGGAAGGAAGGAAGGAAGGAAGGAAGGAAGGAAGGAAGGAAGGAAGGAAGGAAGGAAGGAAGGAGAAAAATGTATACATATATATATGTACTATATATATATATATTTTACCCAGGGTTTTTCTACATAGAATAAAATTTTTATCACTCTTCTCATTACTGGTATCTGACCTTAGACTTTCCTAGCTTACACGAAAAGAAATCCCAGAAATTGCTGCAATACATATGTGAGACACAAAATTGTATTACTGTTTAAAAGAGTCCGAGTCAAAAACAGAGTTAGAACTTATTACTTACAAACAGAACATAGTCATTTTAATATTCTCAAAATTGTATTTAATACTATTAAAAGTTTCTTATTTACATTGGCTACCTGAAAATAAGCTCTCCACGAAATTTATAAGGCTTATCCCTTGTTGTTCTTGTTTTTAAAGGTCACCTTCCCAGTGAGGTCATACTGGTCAAAACTACTCTAGAAATCCTTTTCCTGAGCACATACTCCATTCCAATACTGACCTTCACAGTGTTTGTTTCATTTTGTTTCTGTCCAAGCGTGTTTGTGTTTTGTGACATAGAATTTCTAGTACGTGAATAATGCCTACATTACGAATAAAGTATGTTTGTGGAAAGACTGAATAATTTCTTCCTTAACTCATAACCAAAAATTAAGTGAAAGAAACAAAGACAATAACTCAACAATCTTAATGGTTAATTTCTGAGGCTTTTCCTCCTGTAGAGTTCTCTTGAGAAATTTTAAACACATGCAAAGGAAGACTGAATAACAGGACAAAAGCTATACACAAGTTAGCAACTTGTAAGTTAAGCTTTTCTCATTTATGGTCTAATTTAGAAGCTTCCTACTATTATTTTGAAGCAAATACCATTGGAAATATCTCATTTGAAAGGATACTATTTTTTTCCATATATCGATCCTAACCTTATCACATCTAAGAATAAAATGGTAATTCTATGATTACATTTATTTTCTATCCTGACATGAATCACAGCTTCCAGCCAAAATGTCAATGGCTTGTCATCCTTCTCTTAGGATCACAATCTGAGAACTGTTTTTAATGTCACTTTTGAGTCCAGTCTTGATTACTTTCCAATCAACACACTCTGATACACAATATTTGTATATATAATCAGTGCATTTCCAGGATATTTCCATAGTGTATCACCTTATAGATATCTGTAGTTGTTTTTGCTAGAAAGTTTTTGTGTCCACAATGACCCACTAAGTCTTAAAGAGCCTTACTTGTTTAGAATGAAATGCTTGAAGTAAGTCTTTTTGAAAGGCCATAAAAAGGCCTAGCTGAGTGTCCTTGGAATAATGTGAAAGCACAGACTTTTCAAATGTCATTCCTCACACACACAAAAAAAATTACTTTGGGTTTTGGAACAAAATTAGTAAGTAAAAGGATTTCCAGGGCTTCCGAGTGTAAGCTAGCAGAACTCTGAGAAGCTTCGGCTGGACATTTTGTATTTAAGTGCCTTTGTTCCATGTAAGATACAAAGCTCTCTAGAGGCTCTGGATAAATCCTTATCCACCACAGAAACAATAACTGAATTCATAAGCCTCCTACCATGGCTTATAAGCATGACTTCCACCATAGATCTTACCTGTACTTTAAAAGCACTTTCATCCAGGGGTGGTGGAGGGGGGAAGTTTCCAGAACCAGATGGAAGGGCAATGTGATCATCTAGAGGGGGAGGAGGAGGTGGGAGAAAATCACCTGCAGAAAGAAAATACACATATGGAATTAGTAGGGATGTAATTTTATAGTGCTCCTTAAAAAGATATTTACTGGCATTTTTACTTTATTGTAATTGGCTTCGATACATTTTTTTTTGCCTTGTACAGCAATTGTTCACTACCTTTGGGCTCTTCAATTTATTTAATCACCTTAACTTTGAGAGGAGAGAGAACCAGATTAGATGCTTAAAAGTGGTAGAGAGATTTTGGAAAAAAATGCTGAGTGATAGAAAGCTTACTTAGCATGCAAAAGGCCCCAGGTTAGATTCCTAGCACTACAAGAAAGGGGGGGAGGGGAAAGGGAAACATAAAAGGCAATCTAGAGAGGTTCAATACACAAGACAGAAACAGGGAATGTACCTGGATAATAAGAGCTAGGGATACTGAACTGTGTAATAGCTGAAGTTGCCTTCGATAATGTTTCAATCACATAAAGATTTGTACTTCTGTAAAAATGATACAATACTAATTGCGAAAAGCATAAGCAAACTTTTCTACATTAGCATAAGATAAACTTACGTGCAGGTGGAAGAACAGAGAGGCTATACTGTAAGAGCTTTTGAACAGTATGATCTAGAAAGCAAGTACACGTTAGGCAGAGAAGAGCGTGCAGGCATACAAATCACAAACTCAGGTCTCAGGGAACAGGGAAGCAATCATACTGTTCTTTGTGGAGCAGTATCTATATCTAAACAAATAGCTCATCATGGTGAACCTTTATAAGGGATGCCTAAAAAATTGATAATGACAAATTGTCTCTAAGGAGCAGAATTCTGTACCTGAAGAGTAAGAATGGGAGAAAAACATATACTTTAGGACATAAATTTAAAAGTTACTCATTTGTTCATTTCACTTATTCATGTACTTATTCATGTATTCATTCATCTGTTTTCTTTTCCCCTGATGCAGACTGGGCCAGGAGGGACTCAGCTCATATTGACCCTTGGAGAACCTCAAAGTTGCATTACAAGTATGTCCTCCAGAATTCTTGAACGGATGAGAAGCAGCCTTGAGTTTCTCTGAGCCTACAGCCCTATTTGCATTTATACTTTTAAAATAACACATACACTCTAATCAGAGGCATGTTCAAGTGCCTAGAAATGTATTACTTCAGTATGTTCAGCTGAGTAATGTTTTTAAGCACTGTGATGCAAAATAGAAAAAAATAAGGATAAGTATCATGTAATCTATCATCAAACGCTCAGCCTTCACAACTTATTGACGTCACTGTTGATAACTAAAAATATACAATTGCTTTGATTTACCCAAGGTGGTGTTGATTCTATTAGCAATAAAACCCTTCCCTACTCTTTTTCCATTTTCTCCTATCTCTCTGACAAGACAGGGTTTACTAATCTGGTGGACCAACCTACTAGCATAAGGATCCCAACCTCACATGTTTTTACTTTATTGTTTTGAAGTAAGGTAGTCCAACTTAACCTTAATTTGTAATCCTCTTGCCTCACTTTACACATAGCTAGGGTTACTGGTGTATCACTGCGCTGATAGCTCTGTTTTATAAAGAACTATCCAGGGAATCTGTTGCTTTTACGCAGCATCTGGTCCCTGGACAAACCAGCCAGCTTTGTATAAAACTATTTTGGTTTTATTAACCCCACAGAGGAGCAGCAGAATGTCAAGCCTGATCTTGTAGGGGTTAAAGCTTGCTGAACATGCTGGCTCACAAAATAAGGTAAAGTGAGGAGCGGATACAATGTCTTCCTATTCCTAAACCCAATGTTTGTGTACCATTTCCGTGAAACCACAGGCCTCTGTCTCAGAGGAAAATCGAGCACTCAAGAATCTATTAATAATCAGTGCCTGGATTCCCACTTTGCTTTTTGAGATCCTAAGAGAGCTCTCTGGGAAAAGAGCTCATTATCAGGAGAAGGCCTGGCCATTCCTGGGTGCCTTTCATCACTGTTACCAAAATAGCAACAACTCACTCCCCTTAAACGATGCACCCTGCCCTCTAAATGACCTTGAATTCAATTCTTTAGTCATCATGCCAGACATCTATAGATTCTGACACTTTCTGTGTAGGACTGTCTGTGTATTTATATGCATACATAATACATACTACAAAAATTAATTTTATTGCATTTTGTTTTTATCTAACTAAACACAAGTTGCCAATTCTCATATTATTTAAGTTCCTAACACAAAGTGTTATTTGAAAATAAAGACTAAGATTACATATAGTGGTGATAAAGCAAAGAAAAATGATTAATATGATGAATATGTCAGATATCTTGCTCTGATCTTACACGCATATAAACCTTTTATAAGCCATCATATTATATTTTGTTACAGGAATTTATATAGTTATTCTACATAAGCTAAAATAATAATTTGTTAACCAGTGAAAAGACACAGTATTGGTGATGGCACAGGGAAAACAGTACTAAAGTATCCTCCTCATAAAAGAAGTTAAAGTACATAGAGGCATCAAATCCTCAAAACTATAAATATTGAAGCTGGGACACTGGTGGCTCACATCTGTAATCATAGCTATTCAGGAGACTGAAATTTGAGGACTGAAGTCAAAAGCCAGATCACGCAGGAAAATCCATGCAGTCCTTATATCCAATGAAACACCAAATCCCAGAAATGGAACTGTGACTCAAGTAGTTAGAGTACCAGCCTTGAGCAAAACCGTTAAGTATCAGAACCTAGGCCTGAGTTCAAGTTCCAGTACTAGCACATCAACACACACACATACACACACACACACACACACACACACACACACACACACGTGAGCACGCATGTGCACAAACACAAGCACAAACATATAAACACACACCCCCTTTGATTCAGCGATATCACTTTTGACAAATCATCCTACAAAAAGAAAAAATAGTGGAGTATACATTAAACCATGATACAGCCTGTCCATCATAATGCAGAATAATAGGAAAAAAATCAGTATGCTCATCAAAATGCTATTAGTTCAAAAATCAATTGAAGTCAATTGCACACTGAAAAATAATGTCAGCATCAAGATGATAATGCTCAACATCTCTATCTGTCTTCAATTTATACTCGGAGGGTCCTCTATGTGTTAAGCAAGGTTGCAAATCCCAGGAGAAGGGAACAAACAACAACCAAATAGCTGATTAAAAAAAAAAAAATCCAAGCGCTGTACTCATAGAATTTACACTAGAGGAGACGGATGGTATGTAGGTAGTAGATAGATAGATAGATAGATAGATAGATAGATAGATAGATAGATAGATAGATAGATAGATAGACAGATAGATAGACAGATAGGATAGACAGACAGATACTAAATATCAAATGGCAATAAGTATTATGAAGAAATATAGAAAGGAGATGGAATTGTTAGGGTGCTAGTAGGATGTTGCAGTTTTAAAGAAAGAGTTGAGCAATGCCTCACCAATGTGGCATCTGGGAAAAGACTTAAATCCAATGAGGGAGTGAGTCATGGAATATCTTGGGGGAAAACATGAAATAACTGAAAATATTAACAAAAGAAGAAAAAAGTATTGAGTGGTATGCATAATATGATCCCACTTTTCAAAAAACAGGTATGTTAACAGAAATTGTCTGTAGATCACCAGATAAATGTGTGGTCCTATATATCTCTCCTTTTTACCTAATTATAATACAATAAATATGAATTACAGCCATAAATGTTTTAAGAATCAAAAGGAAGAAACTTTGAAGTGAATCGCAGAATCCACTCAAGCCCGGTGTTTAATTTTAATGCATCACTATATTTACCCAAGCTAAAATTTAGTGTGCTGTCATCTTCCTAAATAACTTCACTTGAAATGCTCTTTCAGATTCTTAAATTAAGAGCAAGAAGAATTATTATCTTTAAAAAGCATGACGTCTCTCTGATTTTAAATTGGACAGTTTCACTCCATACTTGGATAATACAAAATCTCTGAGATTTCAGAGCTTAACATTTCTTTGCTTAATTCTAGATACATTGTGCAAATATAAAAAATAGTTTATTACATCTAAGCATACTGTATTTCTCTATTAGACAGTGGTTTCTACTTGTTGGATAACAGATTCAATTACTCAGTTGAAAATACTGAAGATACTTCAAATAATATAAAACAGGGAGCGAGTCTGGTTTAAAAACATACTTACTGCTCTTCAAACAACAAACCATCATATCAAATTTTTGTGTGTCAGTATTGGGGCTTGAATGCCTGTATGTTGTCTCTTAGCTATTTCCCCCAAGGATGGTGCTCTACTATTTGATCCACAGCGCTGCTTCCAGCTTTGGGGAAGTTTATTTCAGATATGAGTCTCAAAGACTTTCTTACCCAGGCTGGATTCAAACCTCAGCCCTCAAATCTAGCTTCTTTTGTAGCCAGGATTAGAAGTGTAAGACTCTGGCACCTAGCTACATTATATATATAACTTACAAAGGTACACAATGAAAATTAATGTGGTTCCTGGTCATAAGGAAATTGTAAATCAAAGAACTCTGAGATTCCATCTCACCCCAGTAAGACTGCAATATAATGAATTCCAACAACAATAAATGTTCACGGGGATGTGAGGAAAAAGAAATCCTACTGCACTGTTGGTGGGAATGTAAATTAGTACAACCACTCTGGACAGCAATCTGGAAGTTTCTCAAAAAAATAAACATAGACCACCCTACAACCCAGCCATACCACTCCTAGGCATCTATCCTGAACATCATGAACTAGGATATGATGAAGACACCAGTACATCCATGGTCATTGCTGCACTATTCACAATAGCCAAGATATGGAAACAGCCCAGATGCCCCACAATAGATGAGTGGATACAAAAACTGTGGTACCTCTACACAATGGAATTTTACACAGCCATTAGAAAGAATAAAATAATGTCATTTGCAAAGAAATGGGTGGAACTCTAGTTCCAAATCATACTAAGTGAGGTAAGCCAAGTTCAGAGAGACAAACAGTGGATGTTGTCTCTGATATGCGAAAATTAGATCTAAAATGT